CCCTCCCCCTTCCCCGACCAGTGCAAGAAGTTCCGGGACCGGCTGTCAGCAGAGCAGGTGGAAGTCCTGCGGGAGAAGCTGTGTGCGAGCGAGCTGTTCAAGGACAGGAAGGCATCGTACCCCCAAAGGTGAGGGCCTCCAGTTCCTTCACGTGACCCCCCCACCTGCCCCCGTCCACATCAGCAGCAGTTCTGAAACTTTAGGGTGCCTTCGCAGCATCTGGAAGGTTTGGAAGCACCTGGATCGCTAGACCCGCTCTCCAGAGTTTTCAAGTCAGCAGGATGGGGGTGGGGGTGGGTGTCTAAGAATGTCCCTTCTTCCACTTTAATTTCGGTGAAGATCTGTGTGGCCGAACATACAGCCAGTCGTCCAGGGCTGCACGTCCAGGGCCTTCATTTGCTCATAGCATTCCCGGGGATGGCCGTTCTCTCACCTCCACTGACTCCGACTCCCAAGCACCCCAGCTCTTCCTGGCTGTGGACCAGGAGGGAAGAGGAGGCGTTCTACTCTCGTGAAGACTGCCAGTCTCAGAACCTCACAGAGGCCGTTCAACCCTGTCCTACAGGGTTCCCATGAGGCCCATCGACTCGATGGCCCTGACTCTTGGCTTGGTGACCGTGAAAAGAGTGAAATGCTCTTGGGTTTACAAATTTAGGGACACAATTGTAAAATAATTTGCTTTTCTAATAAGTCCATGGGTGGGTGCTGATGATGCTTTTGGTTGGGGGCCCTCTTTGGGAAACCCTGCTAGGGGCCAGCATCCACTGGAGGGTGGGAAGGAGCAAGGGGCGGGGGAGGATGTCGAGGAGAAGTCTGGAGGTAAAGACAGGGCCTTGGGGGTCAGTGGTGGGGACCTTGTCTCCACTGCACACTGTTCTGTGTATCCCCAGTGTCCCCATACAGTTCCGTGGTGACTACATCGGGCTGCAAGGGAACCCCAAACTACAGAAGCTGAAGGGCGGGGAGGAAGGGCCGGTTCTGATGGCAGAGACGGTGAAGAAGGTCAACCGTGGCAATGGCAAGGTGAAGGCCCGCCTCCAAAGTTCCTCCCCAGGCCTGCTCCCCAGGGGACCAGGCCAGACCGAGGGGGTGGCGTGTACGCTAGGGAGTTTCCTTCACCCCTGGCTCGGAGTGCAGTGGGGCGGGATTAATTCCTGTATTTCCTCACCCCTAGACCTCCTCTCGGATTCTTCTCCTGACCAAGAGACACGTGATCCTCACAGACGCCAAGAAGTCCCAGGCTAGGACTGTCATTGAACTGGACAGTCTGGCTGGAGTGTCCGTCACCAGCTTTAAGGATGGGCTCTTTTGCTTGCACATGAATGAGGTACCACGGTCCTGCTGGGGCAGGGCCTGGGACTAGCAAACGGCACCCTGGGGCTGGAGGTGACCAGGCTCAAGACCCCCCCATGCCGGGCCTGTTCCTTCATCCTCAGATGTCCTTTCCCTTTGAGGAAAGTGAATCCCTTCCTGGTATTTCCCCCTCTTCCTAAGATGGCATTGGTGGGCTCCAAGGGAGACTTCCTGCTGATCAGTGACCATGTGATTGAGCTGCTGACCAAGATGTCCCGGGCTGTGCTGGCTGCCATGCAGAGGCAGCTGCCCATCACTGTGACTGAGAAGTAAGGCTGTGAGCTGGGGTGGGCAAGGGAAGGGCAGGCAGATGACCAAGCTGCTGGTCACTGTGACCGGGAAAATTGATGTAGCCATAGAGTGGGGCGTACCAGGTCAGGGCAGGCCTGGGAAGTGAGTTCTCAGGTGGGCAGGTCAAGGAGCAGGCACCTACCTCAGGGAGCATAGGAGGGGCCATCACGAAATTCCTGGTGGTGGGGAGCCAGGTGCTTAGAGGGCGCGAGGGACTAGCCTTGCCTTTCCATCTGTCCCCTCTCCAGGTTCTCAGTGAAGTTCAAGGAGAGCAGTGTGGCCGTGAAGGTCATCCAGGGCCCTGGGGGCGGCGGCGGGGAGGGCAAGCTAAGCTGCAAGAAGAAGGGGAGTCGCAACCTGGAGGTGACTGTGCCGTGAGGGGAGCCGACTGCCTGAACAGCCCCATCTTCCTCCTGGACCAGCACCCACCCCCTACCCTCCCTACCCTCGGGGCTGACACCTCTGCTCACGGGGCGTCCTGGCAGGTTGAAAAGCCCTCGAGGAAGACACCCTTGCTTCTCCCAAACCTTTCCAGCCTTCTCCTGCAAACTGAGCGCCCCTGCCCCACACTATCCCCCCCCCCTCAGCCTCTTTGCCCACTAATGAAACATATGACTAATAAAACTACGTTTCTCCACCTTCTCACCCGGTTGCACGTAGACCCTCCTCTCTCTGCCCCTCTCCCCTTCCTCTCCCCTCCCCGCCTCTCCTGAGCCAGGGGAACACAGTTCATGAGAGTGGAAAAGAAGGGAAATTGTCTTTGGGCTCCTTGACCGGCTGAGCTCAGCTACGGTTTGAAGAGGCTGGGGGTGGGCAGAGGGGCAGGCAGGGATGGGGAGCAGGCCGCAGGTGGCCACTGGGCTGGTTCATTAAGTGTGTCCCTGGAGGGAAGAAGGAAAGATCCCGACTTGGTGGAAATGGAGACTCTTTGGAAATTCTGCCTGAAAAGAGGCCCAGAAGGCTCCCTCAGCTGAGGTGAACGGGGCAGGCAGGGTCCCCTGCACCCATGAGTGCCATCGCCTCCCACCTCCAAGCGGGGGGCACTCCTGCCTCCTTGTTATCCCAAACCTTACCAGCAGCCACCTGCGATGCCAGGCTGCTGCCAACCACTCTGCGGTGGGTGTTCATGAGCAGACGCACAGTCGGACATGGCTTCCCCTCATAAAGGCTCGAGCCGGGGGTAGCAGAGCCAAATTCCTTAACTCCACGTGCCAGGGAGGGTGGGGGAAGAGATGTTTATGAGACGGTGACTGTCAGAGGGGAGAGTCTGACAGCAACACAGGCTGGCGTCCTTTTGAAATCAGAATCCTCAGAGATGATGTGCTCTTTGGAATTCCTACCCTGGGGGATGCACACACAGCTATTTTACGTTGGCTCAGCTTTCAGGATCGTCATGGGAGGCAGTTGTTAACTATTAGCAAACAGACAGAACAGTAAGGCTCCTGAAGTCTTTGTCAGTCTCGGCATGTCTCTGTTGATTAACCAAAAACCCAATCTCACTGCCACCTGACTCACGGCGACCCTATGGGGCCGAGGGCTTCCGAGACTGTAGGTCTTTTTTTTTT